GACAAGGAGGATACCCTATCTCTCCGTTCTTATTCAACTTTGCCATTGAGGATGTCCTGAAGAACGCTCTGGGCGTTGAGCTCCTCCCACGTAGTCGAGTTGTTGGTTTGGATTATGCTGATGATATCGTCTTGCTGGGTGACGATCCACATGTCGTCCAAATTGCACTAAACCGCTTGGCGATTGAAACATCATAGTATGGTATGTACTTTTTGCCATCGAAATGCAAGGCTCTCTTCCAAGGCTGGCAGGTGCCTCTGCCTGCACTCACCCTTGGTAGTGAGACACCAGAGGTTTTGGAGAGCTTTATCTACTTGCAGAGTTGCATCACTGTTGGCGGGGCTGTTGGGGACGAGATTTCGATGCGCATCTCGAAAGCACGCCTCGCTTTTTCTAGACTGAAGCACTTGTGGCGTCGCCACGACATTCGTCTCTCCATCAAAGGGCGGGTCTATTGTGCAACTGTTCGTGCTGTACTGTTGTACGGATGCGAGACCTGGTCCATTCGTAAAGATGACTTGCGCAAGCTATCCGTCTTCGAGCACCGTTGTCTGCGGTCCATTGCCCGAGTGTGGTGGCAGCACCACGTAAGCAATGTGGAAGTTAGACAGTGTGTCTTGGGACGTGGAAGCCACTCGCTCGAGGAGCTCGTCTCACTGCATCAACTGCGGTGTCTGGGACACGTATTGTGCATGCCTGTCCAGTGTTACCCGCGTCGTGCGTTGTTTGCGGTTGTTGGACAGGGCTGGAAGAGACGGTCTGGTGGACAGCCTACAACATGGAGAAGCCGCATGAAAAGGCTGACGAAACAGTTGGCTTTGGCCGGTTTTTGTCGACTACCTGGTTGGGGTCCGAGAGATGCGGATGCTTGATGACTGAAGAGCTTGGAAGCCATGGCTCAAGATCGATGTCAATGGCGGACATGCTTATCGGTGTCCATTCTTCCTCCCCCCCTAAAAAGAACAAACTGATTTTTTTTTCAAAAACTGTCAGTAGTAAATTAGACAAAAAGTAGCTTTTGTTGTTGCTACTCTTTTCTTGCTATACTGTTTTCCTATTCAGCCATGATTCCGATGGCACAATATCTGTGCCACAGGTTATATATATATATATATATATATATATATATATATATATATATATATATATATATATATATATATATAAATATCGACGAAGTGGAAATGTATGTACGATATGTCGATGACACGTTCGTACTTTGCAAATCGGGAAAGCAAGCTGTGTAGTTGCTGAAAGTCTTTAACGATGCACATGCGAATCTTTGCTTCTCCTGTGAACAGGAGTCTAGTGATCAGCTTTCTTTTCAGGATATAACCATTAGCCCAAACGCCGATGGACTGCATCCGAAGAATACACTGGACAATATGCTAACTTCCACAGCGCAATTCTTCTGCAGTACGAACGGAGCTTGGTGCAACCTCTCGCGTTCAGGGCGCGCACTAGATACAGCCAATAAAGAACTGCGGAGAATCAGCGACACCCTTAGAGAAAATGGATAATCAGACAAATTTATTCGGAAGCATCTGAGAGTACCTGAATGTAAGGCACCTAGGAGCATTACTCCTGAAGAAGGAGTTTTCTTACGTTTACAATTCAAGAGCGATGCTGCCGCTGGCCTAAAAGACATATTCAGCAACTCGTTTGAGAATAGTTTATCAGGCCCTTGAAAGATAAACTACTTTCGTTGGCTCGATCAATGCTTGTGCTCTTGCGGTGCACGATATGTCGGTCGCACTTCGAGATGTTTATCTCAGAGGATTCGCGAGCATATCCAAATGTGGTCCTTCAGAGACGATGAAGCCTTCAAACAGCTCAATTTTGTCAAAACTCCTTGAATACGGATATGCATACATAATGAGTACATAATCTATGGTTGTGACTTAAGTTATCCAATCTGTCGATCAAACTGCGTGTAATCGCTATTTAGCTCTTTCCGGCATTTTTACAGATAGTCCATCATGTAAATGTCGGATGACAGTTTTCTCCTAAAGGGATTCTTCACTCACATTTCGATTTTGAGTTTAAACAATGAAATGGGAATATTTGGTTTGCTGAAGCTGTGTTAGGGAGACACGTAGTGCACATACATATTTCGGAAAACATTCTTAGTTACCGATTTGTTTCCTTCAGCTATTGATGTTAGTGACATTGGTTTAAACACATCATTCCGCTAATTTTATTGACTTCTTGTGGTCACTGCTTTTCCTCTTGGATCGCAATGCCACCTGGCTGCCAAGAGGCTACCCTTTCGTTCGTACGTGTCTCTTATTCGTTCCTTTGTTGATCATTCTTCATTGGCTTCGTTTTGCTTGCATGCTTTTAGCAATATGGTTGGCTGAAATGTCTTTTAGTATCTTCACTTCAGTTCATTTTTAAAACTATTTAAACAGACATGATTGAATGCATACGATTCTTTCCTGGCATGCCTTTGGAGTTCTTCTTCCAGTCATGGGGTGAAGCAGTCAGCTGCAACACAACACTCAGCATACCGTCTTCGATAAGCACCATCTCATTTTCATTCTGACCTACTCTTTCAAGGTTGGGTTAGGTACAGTTCAGTTCCATATACACAGTGGCGTGGAGAATGTCCCTCAAGTACACGCATCAAAGAATTGTGGTGCTAGAGAATAGGTTTCTCGCACGTACCCTTCACCTGTGGGGAATGGCATTTCCACTTATTCCAGTGTCAATTTACCTCGCGCGCAGATTGTTTTGCATTTACGGTGCCTATGAGCCTTACAATAAGGGACAAAAAACCGGTAAGCACGAACCGCTATGCTTCACGCTTACTGGATTACGCTTAGGAAATCGGCTGGTTACCAGATGATTCGGGTGAGGTTGCACGGACGGAGAGCGATTATTGCGTACGTCAGTTCACTTGCTCCCATATCAATGATAAGCGCATGCCGCAACCTGCAACACTTTTCTGATGGGTCCATTGTATATTGATTGACTGCTAGAAGAATTCAAATGCATGGGCCCATTCTGTTGGTGGACACTTCTCTAAGCCGTTTGTTTACAGGGGCCGAGCTAAAGATCAAGCTAGTGCTCTCGCCACGACAAAAAACGATGACTTTGGAAAGCGAAGAATGACCTCTCACTTCCCAACCAGAGCAGTCTTGGCTTTGCCAAGACCCTGTCTTTGCGAAGCGCAAGCTTTCAATCGGAGTCTACCACATTTTGAAAGGTGAACAGTTTGTGATCCCTGGTTCTATTCCGATTGTAAATACACTCACGAGGATCGCCCTGATGGTCTGCGAACAAAATCGCAAATGTGCCAACAGTACTGGTCAAGTGTGCTGCGCGTGTGTACAATTCGACAAAAACTTCTGGATGCTCCAATGCAATCGAGTATACAGCGATTCCCTAGCCAAAGTTTCGGCTGATACCGTATGCCCTTAAAAACGAAAAGCGCTGGTTGCTACCCGTTCCTGCAGTATGTGACCTGAAGCTATTCAACGCGATAGTGTTATCATAGCGAACAATATAAAATGGCCCTGCTACTTATTTGCCTAATTCGCGCTGCAAGAAGCGATAACAAACAACCGGTGACAGTTGTTTCGAATTGGTGAGGATGCTTAAGAAATAAGGATACCAGACCCTAGAGTCTTATAATCTCGCTGTTATTAGGCAGATCGAATGACATATTCGCGTTCTGGGGTCCGTGCAAGTCATCCAGCTTGCGCGCTAATCCTTAGATGATGCATTAAGGTCAGCCTCAACAACATACTGCTGTTAGAACCCGTCCTAGTTGCTTCGACCCCAAGTTGGCATAGAGGGAACGCTCTTCACCGAGAACACCACACGCAAAGTAACCCAATGAACTCGGATCTGTATGTCCAAGGCGAGCTGAGACTGGTAACGAAACATATAACCTCGCACAAGTGCCCCGAGACCCATAGAAGAAAGGCGGCCCATTGGCCACAGTTCGTTAACTGACACAGCCGAAGACGAATCATGCCTTCTACAACCTCGTAGCTATAGCTTAATAGTATAGCAACGTAATAATAAACTATGAAGGAAGGTAGATTTTGGCAAAGCACGTAATGATAGTGTATTGAGGTGTATTGATGTCAGTGTGGCTTGGAGCAGAAGCTACAGCATTGTACTGAGGGAGAGCACAGGTGGAACGAGCGCAGTTAGCGTTGACATATAACACTAGTTGCAATGAGGAGTGCTCAGCTTCATAAAACCGAATTTCGGTGCCGAATAGCGATACTTCTGCTGTTAAATACAGGCGGTATCTGACCACTCGTGTGTGATGCTTCGGCACATCGCATCGGAAGGCACCGTGCGGTTTAATTTAGTGGTCGGAATACACCAGATGCGACAACACTGTACTCGTTATGGTCTTCATCATTGCGTAGCCGCATCCGGCAATATACTGGCGTTCTTAAAAATTTCCGCGCGGTGATTTTTCAAAAACGTTATTTCCGGCACGGGCTTTCGCGATATCCTGTCATCGAACTACTGGTGCACATTTGGCGGAGTTGTCGAGTAAGTCGGTCGCACTGCACGTTTTAGCGGTGGCATTGGGAAGCCCTTCGGGTGGTAGGTTTCGCTTTCGCATCACCTTTAAACGGTAACGATAGGTATGATGACCGCTTCTCCGTGAAAACAGATCCCAACTTCGATACTCGGGGCTCCACTTGCTACAGTGGGAAATTTCTTAGATATTCATTACACTAAGATATGCTTCGGGTAAAACAGCTAATCTAAAAGCGTGTTTTCTGTGCCCATCCTATTTGTTCTCCACCTTAGGCAATGGATGAGATTTCGTTGCTGACTTATTGCATCTTCTCCGCTTGTTCGCTAACTCTCTCCGGGAAAATATTTTTCAGTTGTAACAGAATACACTGCATCCATGGGTTCAGTGATGTATGAAGGATAATGGATTAAAGAAATAAATGCACATGATAAGTGGAAATGTTGGTATGAAAGCACGGTGGTGAAATGTTCATAGACAACAAAATGGCGCGTCATAGAGTCTTCAAGAACGTATTGTACTTCTGCTCGTCGACACGCGCGAAGTTTTGACAAAATTGTGCATCGCTTCCCTCCACAACTTTGCTCAATGGGGTGTACAGCGGTCTGTCAAGAAGTAAAAGTAAGTGGTTATCACGAAGAATCCTCAAAACATTACTACAAAATCTCCTACTCATAAGTAGTCTAAATTTAAATGGCAACAACAGTGATGAACAAGAGCGCCACGCATCCCAACTATTTCTTTTGAGTTCCAAGCCAACGGTTCGATGCGGTAAGATCCGAAGATACACCTTACCAGCAGCAGTAGAGCACTGTTCCCCAGTGCTATCAAATAAATGTGTGTGTAAGTTGCAATTCACCACCTAGACTTAGTCAGGCAGTCATCACTTATAATAACAGTCATGTCGGTCGCTGCCATCTTATGCAGCATAGTGCTTCCTTCTGTCATCATTCATAGAAAGAATGGCACTCGTGAAACTAGATTCGTGAGGAGCAAGCCGGGTTTCGTCGATGTCCTGACTGCACCAACCACATCTTCACTTTGCGTCAGCTGTTGGAGCACCGCCACATATATTGGTGGCCTTCGATTCGCTTGATCGATGTGCCCCTTGAGACTGTCTGCTAAGGTGTGCCCGAGAAATATGTAGATATTATCCGAGCATTATACGCGCGTAGCTCGGGCAGTGGAGGGCTTACGGCAAACTGTCACCGCTTTACAATATCTCCAGCGGTGTGAGACAAGGATGCCCGCTGCCACTCTTCCTCTTCAACTTCGCTACTGACGAAGTCATGGAGATCGCGTTCACAGAATACGACTTAGGTGTGGAGCTGTTCCCAGTTGGAGTATGCTGACGATAGTACCTCATCTGTGACAGCTCACAAACGTGCCAATCGGCACTGGACAGATTAACACTGGCTGTCAGCCGTTTCAAACTATGGTTTGGACTTTCGAAGTCCAAAGCTTTCCTCCAAGATTGGCAGGGACAGCCTCCTGCGCTGACCCTTGTTGAGGATCAGATAGAAGTCGTTCAGAAATACAACTACCTAGGAAGTTGTATTAGCGCCGCTGGAATTGAAGACGAGATCACAAACCATGCAGCAAAAGGCCAAGGCGCTAATGCCATTCTCCGCCACCGGCGCCCCATCACTTTCTCCCTGAAGGGTAGAGTTTATAATGCAGCCATACGTTCGACCCTACTGTACGGTTGTGAAACCTGGCTCCTTAGACTAATTGACATAAAGAGGCTAGTTACGTTCGACCGCCGCACCTTCGCAGTTTGGTTCACATCTGGTCGGAACACCGCGTGAGCAACGTGCGTGTTTACGACATAGGAAAAGGAAATGAACCGTTCAGCAGCGTTATTTCACGCACCTGCCTCCGATTACTCGGCCGTGTTACGCATGCCAGCCCACAAGCTCCCGCGACGTGCGTTGTTAGCGCGCCAGGGATCTGGATGAAAGAAGACGCGAACAAGCAATGACTTCGTCAAGAGGAATGAAGGTTCGTAGAGGGTAGAAGTCACGATTAAACTCCACACGAAAATCTGCCTCAAAGGGGAATCGAACCCCGGTCCACGAATTTCCGGTCCGCTGCTCCACCACTGAGCTACCGAGGGCTGACGATTAGGTGCGGAATTTAACACGTGACTTCTGCTTGTTGCGCGACGTATTGCCAATGAATGAAGGCCCTTATTTCCAAGCTGGCCACGGTTGGAGCGTCTGGGCTCCTTGGTTGGGGTCCGAAATACGATGAACACGTCTGGCTGTACAGAACTGCTGACATGGTTAAGAGCCGAACTGAGTGGCGTGCCTGCTGTGAGTTTCTTTGTCCCGCCCCACCCCATCCAACCACGATCTCATTTACTAGCATAACAGAATTTTGCATAATACATTTTTTTCGCTGTTTAGCAGTCGGCTGGTAGCTTTCCGGAACGATGCCCATCCGTTACCGGCAGCTCATGCATCTGTTGGTTTTCTTTTATATATTGCGACACAGTAGCTGAGGTGTTTTCCACCTCTAGCTGATGTGTATAATGATGATAATGTTTCCAACCACGGACTAGCAGGAGTATGGCAGCGGGTTCTGGCCTCACACAGGTCAAGTGGCATACGCAATGCTGACGATTCCCGAAAGGATGAAACGGCTGTACAGTGCTTTCTTGCGTGTGTGATGGTTGTCTGACTGGGTGTAGTGATGCGGTACTGCTTATACCATTCTCCACTACTCTATTGTAATCAGCACTCATATCAAACTGCTTATAATGCAATAACCGGCGGTTTAGGTTTCTCGATCAGTGAAGGGGCTACCCCGTCCTTTGCAAAGTAGTAACGTGCAAGTCAGTGGCGTTACACCACATCCATTAACATAGTCACGTCGCTCGTTACCGTCCCCCATAGCTCAGTGGTCTCAATCATAGACTGGCAAAAGTCGAGTTGCGAGTACGAGTCCACAGGTTTCAGATAGAATGCGCAATGCTGACGGACTCAGAAAGAATGAAACGGTCGCACAGCATTTTCCCAAACGTGTGATGGCTCCGAGTGGATCTAGATGTGACGAATTTCGAATTGTATCGTTCAACCCCTCTGTTACCCTTCTGTAGTTTTAAGTATATCAACTGATAAATAAATTGCCTGATTTTTCCCGTATAGCACTCACCCGAGCTTTTCATACACTTATCATACACACACACAGATGGGTGATTGGGAACCAACTCCATATCACAAAACGACGATGGGTAGGTGGCTTGGACCCAATCGTGGATCACAACATACGCTTCCATTGACTAATCTGTGCACAGTATAACCGATTTTAGGCACATCGGTTGGTCAACTAGGACGTGAAGTGCAAACCGATCTACGATCCAACACAACATTGGGTCGTTAAACTCATTGTCTACGCGGTTTGCAAACGAGTCAACATGAAACAACAACAACATCCGACGGATACACTGGATTTCAATACTTGCAAAAAACAGTTAAAGCGTTTCAACAATGCGGATCTGTAAGCAACAAATGGCTTATCGTCCAACTGCAATGAATCTAAATCTGGAACTCATTTTTTGGAAACAACTTCGGTTAGTGAATGAATCCATCAGCAACAGGGCTCGGGGTGCATAGATCGCGAAAAATGCTGCATCGCTTAAAACGGTAGTGAAGTTGGAATGAATGTGTTTAACGATTTAGGTGATTTGCTGGGACAGATAAAATGCTGATTCCGCTTTTTTATACAATTGATCACTACCTAATCGGGAATGTACTCCGCGGAAAAGCTGTCTCGCCAACGTCGCCTAATTTTCAAACAATGGCAGAGCATCCGCGAGACGTCGGCGCCTTGATTCTCAGCGCATCTAGGCATTAGGCTAGATAATCCTCTCACCAAAGGGATGTTCACGACGGCGATAAGCTGTGAGTATGATTAAAAAAGTGCAACGTAATACTCGCACATGACGGCTTCGACGCAGTGACTCACACCAGAATGGAGTAGACTACCGCATCGTGTTACCATATTCATAGAATAGACACATGCATTCTTTGAGGGTGCCTTGGAATTCAGTCACGTGAAGATCGATCCCACAGTTTAGAGACAACACCAGTTTAACTAACAAACAGGATGCCCATATGTGGTAGGTGCAGGGTTATGATAAATCTGTGGCATGGTGCCGGAATAAAAACCCCAGTAAATACAACCCAGATCCCAAATGGACAAAAAGGTAATTACCACGAACACAGGTACCTAGGTGGGGTGGAGGCAGGGGACGTACTTTTTAGGATCCAATTGCAAGAGACCACGGCGTACAAGAAAAGTGGCTCTTTGAGGCAATAAATGAGGAGAAGCTGTCAGAGCAGACGGCCACTGTTGTATGGATTCGATGGGTAGATCCAAGCGTGAATGCATGAATGCAAAGTTGGCTGATAGCCTCTCGTTTTCTGTCAAAGCAAATAGAGAGGAATATGAAGTTAACGCGATATAAGAGGAATCGACTGTAAATACTAAGCCAAATGATGGGTATCATTGCCAAGCGATAAAATAAGGGAGAACTTGAATTCAGTATCTGAGTCCAAAGTTGGGGTTAAAAAGCGAACACTACCTGCTGCGGTCGATTCCTCTCTTGCC